TTATTGTTGTTTTTAAGCGTTTATTAGCAAGTGGGAACGACCAACATGGCCGCCATCTATTCAAATGGGGGTAACCGCTGGAATATTGTTGGCTTCAATTTTACTAAAAGAGATGCGCTATCTAGTGTATATAAGATATCTATGCTCTGAGCTAACTGTTGCTGTTCCTTGCACGATTATGTGCGTGTGAGGCACTTGCCTAATGCGTAGTCGTCAGGGAGACAAAGGTGTGACCCTTGGTAACGGCCGATTAGCTGATTTACTTGGCTGTCAATGCTATGCATGCATTTAGTAGTAGTATTAGTAGTGTTAGTATTAGTATATAGATTATTATGATAATTAATTACAGGTAAACTACGTGAAGCGTTTCTCTTTTGACTTCGTAACTCATTTGGAATTTTCCTCATTAGCTTTGCAAATTTGAAAAACTCTTTGCAAATCCCTTGAGGGAATTTGCAATGTTCCTATCGGCTGTTGCAATATTCCAAACTTCATTTTAAATTTTCCTAACTTCCTGTTTTAATTTCCTAACTTCCTGTTCTGGTCTGAGCGTTGTTATTGGTCGATTATTTTTGTTAGCCAGTTGCAGCACTCAGAACAGAACAGGAAGTTAGGAACTTGTAACAGGAAGTTAAGAACTTCTAACAGAAACTGAGGAAAATTTTTTTGGCTTTTAGCAACATTGCAAATTCCCTCAAGGAATTTGCAAGGGAGTTTTTTAAATTGCAAAAGTAATGAGGAAATTGCAATCAATTTAGGAACTCAAAAGAGGAACGCTTCACGTAGTTTACTTGTAATACCATGTGAATATTTTATATATTGGTAAATAGGTATTTTGTCGAGCACTTCTATCATGGGCTAGCCCCTGGCTCGAGGCAACCACACTCTGTCATTCGACATTAAATAAATTATTCTATTCTAACATTCGTAACTTGTCTACTCGTTCACATCCATCAGAAGAAGAAATTCGCACTAGAAATCGCAGCAAAAATTGCAAGTGTAAAAGGACCTTTTAAAGATGTTTGCCTGCATAGATTTTTGTCCGTTTCTTTCTCTACACGTTTCCTCTTAATCAGCTGGCCAGGCAATGGGCAATTCCAGTTATAGACTAAATTTTGATCTAGGCAAGAATAGAACAAAATTCATCACCACAGCTAGAAAGAGCATGTTAAAATGGGTAAATTTGCAAAGCTTGGTTGCGAAATATTGTAAAATGAGGAACATATAGCCCTGCGAAATTTGCAAATTTTGTATTAATTTGTATTACGCGCTGGAAAATGCACCACATTTGGGCCGAAAGTCGTGCAGATTCCCGTGCATAATACAAATTAATACAAAATTTGCAAATTTTGCAGGGCTATATTTTCCTCATTTTACAATATTTCGCAACCAAACTTTGCAAATTTACTCATTTTGACATGCTCTTTCTAGCTGTGGTGATGAATTTTGTTCTTCTTGCCTAGATCAAAATTTAGTGTATAGTTGGAATTGCCCATTAGTTAGCTTAATCACATCGCTAGCCAGGAGTGGGTTTCACAAAGCACTATCGTGCAGCAGATGGTGGTCAACCTGCAGTTATAAAAAATTTCGTTCCTCTTTTTAGTGAATGACGTCACTGTTCACGAAGGTGACATTATCATGAGCGACGCTCAGTACAATCATCTTGTCTCCCACGGCAATCAAAGTGATAAACGAACTACATATCCTCATTATGAGTATCTCTGGAAGTCAAAAATTCTTCCGTACGAGATCGATCCAAATATGCGTAAGTTATGCATTTTATTATTCATACTCGACAGTTCCAACGGTTCTTCCAAGAGGTCCAGTAAGGTCATCTCTTATTCATCCATCCCTTATTCAACCTAAACTAACTTTATTTATACTGCATAGCTCTATAATTTCTAAACTGTTCTTCCTTGAGGTCCAGTAAGGATCATCTCTTATTCTACAGGGGGAAACCTAAATTAAACTAACTTTATTTATACTGGATAGCTCTATCATTTCCAAACTGTTCTTCCTACAGGTCCAGTAAGGATCATCTCTTATTGATCCAGTGTTACTACAGGAGGAAACCCAAACTAAACTAACTTTATTAATACTGGATAGCTCTATCAGTTCTAAACTGTTCTTCCTTGAGGTCCAGTAAGGATCATCTCTCATTGATCCAGTGGTACTACAGGGGGAAACCCAAACTAACTTTATTATACTGGATAGCTCTATCAGTTCTAAACTGTTCTTCCTTGAGGTCCAGTAAGGATCATCTCTTATTGATCCAGTGTTACTACAGAAGGAAACCTAAACTAAACCAGCTTTTTCTAAACTGTGACCCGAGGATTAATAAAATTTAATTACTTTTATATTTAGTTCATCAACCAGACTCCTGGAGTCAATGGTCTCCATTTTCTCCGTGTGAGGAACTTTGTCGCAAGAAACGTCAGCGGTTTTGTTACTCAGAGCATCCTGGACGCTGCGATGATGCATCTTCCAGTGGACTGCAGACTCATGTTGTTCAATGCTCGTTTAAAGAGTGTTATGGTAGGATAACATTTCTGATCGATATTTTAGGCATATCTCTGTCGCTCTGTGTATTAGCTCCTGTATCCTTCTACAGCAATAAGGAGGTTCAGATTTTGGCTTCCGTTACCGTTGCTATTGGCCAATCAAATGCATTTATTCTACCGGATTAACCAATCAAATGCATTTATTCTACCGGATTAACCAATCAAATGCGTATTAAGTCTGTGAGAGATAGTGGTACTGGAAGTCAAATCAGAACCTCTCTAGTACGAGACGAATAAGAGATTATCCTTACTGAAAAACAGTTTAGAACTGATAGAGCTATCCAGTGTAAATAAAGTTAGTTTAGTTTAGGTTTCCTCCTGTAGTAACACTGGATCAATAAAAGATGATCCTTACTGGATCTCTAGGGAGAACAATTTAGAACTGATGGAACTATCCAGTATAAATAAAGTTAGTTTAGTTTAGGTTTCCTCCTGTAGTAACACTGGATCAATAAAAGATGATCCTTACTGGACCTCTAGGAAGAACAGTTTAGAACTGATAGAGCTATCCAGTGTAAATAAAGTTAGTTTAGTTTAGGTTTCCTCCTGTAGTA